AAAAAAAATTCATTTAAATGGGGGGGGAAATTGCGGTAAAAAAAAAAACGGAAAAAAAAAAAAAAAAAAAAAGAACCAAGCAAACTCTAGGAAAATCCATTTCTGTCACCAAGTCACAAATATGTGAAAGCAGGAACAGAGAATCATAAGATAATTAAACTAATTATCTTCTAATTGCCTGGAGCAGCCTGCACAAGTTCCAACCAGGCAGCAATACAATAGCACACTTCTCACCCTTGTTTTACACTTGTATCCCCACGACGTATGTTTATGCACATGGTAACCTACATCTCTCCTGGAAACAGTGAAATTAATCAAGAATCTAGAGGATAGCCCTGCCTCTATCCCCTACAAAATGGTCAGAGAAGTGGCTGGTAAAACCAGTTTCTTCATAAATCTAGGATAGACAGCAATCAGAAAGTTTATGCAAATGATCTCAAATCACAGAAGACAAAAATGCTAACAAGGGGGTGTTTCACAGTCAGATGAGTACCCAAGACAAACAAGCCACATTACCTGTCAGCCTTCATCAGAAGGTGAGGTGGCAGCTCCAGGAGCTGGTTGTGCTGTACATCCAAGACCTCCACCGAGGTCCTTTCCAGCCTGTCTGGGAGCCTTGCCAACTGATTGTGTCCTGCCAGTAGTTTCCGGAGACTATTATTACAAAATAACCTGTACAAAAAGGAACAAAAGAAGGCAACTTACTTAGAGGAAGTTTGGGGTAAAGATTAAAAAGGAGTAAGAGGAGGAAAAAAACTTAAAATAATCTCTCCAAAAATCATAAATTCATGTAGAGCAACTGCAAGTTCATTTTAACAAAAGGTCATACTTGGAATAGTTAATATTTCGATGTTTTCCATACTTAAAAAAAAGAGGATGGGGAAAACTATGAAAATGGATACTGAGCAAAGCAGCTCTTTGTAGTGTAAAAGAAGTTTCATAGAAGTAGACAGATACTACATAGATCAGTCAAATCTTGTCAGATTCACAAGGCAAGCTTTAAAAAGTTGTATGCTTCTCCAAGGTAGTCTTGTACTGCCCTAGAATGCTAGGTGTTTTACCCACAAGAGATTCTGAATACACCTAAGCAATCTTTACCTACAGGATCAACATTAAATAAAGTACACTTCTATTCAATTAAAATTTTACAAATGCCAACCAAGAAAATGTCATGCTTTTCCTCAGTTGCATTTCACAGTCCTAATTGTTACTCCCTTTCCCCACTTCTCTGTCTGTACATTTTTGTTTTCTCTTTGGTTTAATTCCAGACCAAGGTAAAGATTCTAATTCTCCTGAAGAGAACAGAATGCACTTAATCCACTATTTTCTTGTTTGGAAGCTTGGCTGTGTTCCTTTCAAGTGTTTTCAGAACTACAACAAACGATGAACACTTTGTTAAGCTAATGTAAATCTGCATTATGACCACTCCAGGCTTCTCTAACAGTTGTAGAGAATAAACAACGATGTGCCTGGTATACACACAGACATCTGGGGGCTGTGGAAAAGTGACACTGTAATGTGCATCCTGCTCACTTAAGAATGAGAATTCACTCACTGTGAATTTCGCTGCTGTGAAAGAGCTAGGCTTCCTCATCGACCTTTTGTTTTCCACCATTCTGACCTCACTCACCAATGTCCCCATTGTTTTAATTAATGCATTCATTTTTAATTTACAAAAATATTATGGATACTTATGGTGCACAACATGATGTTTTGTATATGTATACGCTGTGGAATGCCTAAATCAAGCTAATTAACATACACATTATCTCATACCTATTTTTTTGTGTGTGATGAGAACTTCTCAAATCTCTCAGCAATTTTAAGAATAAAATACATGGTTATTTAGTCACTAGTGTTATACAACAGATCTCTTGAATTTATTCCTCCTATCTAATTGAAATCACCATACATATGGCATAACTTCATTCACTTAAAATATTAAAACTAGAGTCTTTGCTCACAAAGATGCTAGCAAACTGTCTCAACCCTGTGACACCATGGGACACCACTGAAGATAACTGACTTTCCAAGTTTAGATATCAGTGTGATGACAAATTACTCAGGCCAGTCAGATTACCCATGCAGTCAGTCTTCACAGGGCAGTCCCTGTAACAGTCACACCAACCCATTAATTCAGCATTTGGTTCATTATAAACATATATATATTCTTTGTCCGTTAACACATAGATAACTGAAAAACAGGTGACGAAATCTTTATCTTGATCTTTCCAAATAAAAAGTAGATTTGATTAACTACAGGATGAGTATTAAATGCTAATTATTAGATTTATTTTAATTCTTTTGGATACTGTTTAAGCATTAAAATACTTTCTTTCCCTTTTATACATTTCCACTTCTAAATAATAATTTCTGCTTTGTCAAAGCCTTCACATACACAACTTAGACTTAAAAAAAAGTTTGAATATTAAATCAAGATAAATGGATCACTGTCTTGCCTGAATATCAACAATAGGCCTCATACAAGTTTCCAACTAAATACCATAAACAAGAAAACAATACGTATTGTTTTTCTCCCACGTGTTACACACACACACAGAGTTTAAATTTCTCGACAATACAGCATTTGGTATTTGCTTTGAATAAGCATTTGTTTAGATCCCAAAAAAAACCTGTACTGATGAACAACAAATCTAAGATTAATAAACTTTGAGAAAAATTGGAAAAAATATCATTATCTTGTATTTGTATGTGTGTGCCACGTGTATATGTATGTATATATAAAATGTCTTTGTTGCATGCCTACAGTGAAACAGAAGCCTTAGCCAATATGCTATCTGTTGGAGGGGAGAAGAGAAAAAAATACGAGGAAGGATACAGTAAAAAATGTTTTCAACAAATTATTTTTTCCCCACTAGTAGTAGTCTGTTTCATTTTTGCTGTTCCTCTTCTAAAAGGGTTAGGCACAGACGCGCACACATATCCCCTTCTAGATAATGGTGATAAGCTACACTGGGTCACCTACATGCTCAGTCAACATAATACCCTAGAGCAGAAAGCATTTTCAAATGGATCAAATTTACAGGTAAAATGAATGGCTGTGGAACAAAGTGAAATTAACCAAGCTTTTCAGGGACTGAAAATGTAACTCAGATATCTTTAATGAGAGCTATGTTCTAACACAATGTTACCCAACAGAAATATAAGCCACACATGTAATTTTAAATTCTCTAGTAGTAGAGAATTCTCCCATCCTATTTCCTTCTCCCTTTCACCCCCCAACTGCTCCACAACGACATCATAGAATGTAAAAAAACTAATATTAATACAATTTTTTAAAAAAGAAAAAAATTCTAAGCACCATTGACTGCATGACTTTGAAAAGTCTGCCTGAGAGTCAAAGCCTTACTCTCCACTACATGAAGAAAGTTTAGAACTTGAAGACACCATAGGGGGTAAAAGATACCAAATCAAATTTTAAAACAAACTCTTGAAGGGGTTCATAATAACAAGTTAAACACTGAATCAGCAAATTTTTTTTATATTGCTTGTCTACTTTGAGATTCTCTCACTTGATCTGCAATACTTACCGGGCAGGAAGTTCACATATTTGATTATGGCCAATATCTAAAACTTCTAGCTTTCGGCTTTCACATACCCACTCAGGCACATTTTCTAGGCAGTTCCTAAATACAAGAACATGAAATTATTATTTTTTGATTGAATTTGGCCTCAAATATGGTTCTAGATTTAAAATAATTGCAAAGAATAAAACTTTAAATGAAACACCAAAGTAGAGTGAGTATAAATCAAAAGGATACGTGTATTCGCTTTACTCTAAAAGCAAGATAAATTGTGATAGGAAGAAGAAATAAAGGAAAAATAAGAAAATACACAGTTATATCACCTACGTCATCTCAAAAGTCTAAATAAAAGAAGTCTAGTTCCCAGAAATATTTCCTTATGAAGTCCTCAGACACATGCAAATACAGGGAGAGGATGTCTGACATTGTAAAACACACACACACACACACACACACACACAGTTAAGTCAAAAAGTCGAATAACCGTAACACAGTTTTATTTTCAAGTTTACATTTTTACCCTTAACATTAAAATACTTCACAGCAGTTGACAACATGCAAACACAGCTGTAAATAAATGGGAAGAGTGAAAAGCAATTTTAACATGGCAGCAGTGGGGCCGGCCCGTGGCTCACTCGGGAGAGTGTGGTGCTGATAACACCAAGGCCGCGGGTTCGGATCCCATATAGGGATGGCTGGTTGCTCACTTTGGTGAGCGTGGTGCTGACAACACCAATCCAAGGGTTAAGATTCCCTTACCAGTCATCTTTTAAAAAAAAAAAAAACATGGCAGCAGTGAAAAGGTGCACTGACAGTTTAAGACTCAAAGAATTAATTGAAAACATCTACTTTAGCATCAGATGATAATTATGACTACTAGAAACAAGTGAAATACTCTAATGGTGACTTTAACTATTAAATGAATTGGCCATTACTTAGACAAATCTACAATATTTGAAAGTCTGCTAGTCATACATGGTTGGCCTTTTTTTTTTTTTCCTTTTTGTCTTTTTTCATGTCCAGCAACGGATCGCAACCCTCAGTGTCGCGCCCACACCGGACCGGGACCGGCAACGGGATCGCAACCCTCGGTGCTGCGCCCGCCCCTCGCTCAGCCAGTGAGCGGGAACCGGTCTGTATGTGGGATCCAAACCCTCGGCAGGAGCGCCGCCGCGCTCCCAAGTGGCGCACTGTAGCAGTGCACCACCGGGCCGGCCCGTACATGGTTGGCCTTTTACCTTCTTTTTAAGTATGTGAAATGACCAACCACAAAGAATCTAAAATGGTATGTGTATTATAACTACATTTCTTGATACACATATGAACAATCCTGTGTAAATACGATGCTTGGGACAAGGACTGTAAGATATTACAGCAAAATGGAAAATAGTTGTAATGTTAAGGTAGTGGTATTATATGTGATTTAAAGATCATTTGCTCTTTAATTTTGCTATTACATCAACTTTTCAATTAAAATGTAGAAATAGAAGGCATTATTTCAGCTTAGTAACCAATAGACACACACAGTTCTGGCTTTGAAGTCCTAAAGACTGACACAATTATTTTATTTTATAGTACTTAACCTCTAAAACATCTCAACAGGACAAAAGAATTAAATTACACCTTAGTAAAAGCAACCTTAACATTAAAACTCCTGTAAGTGATAAAATAACCTGGAACTTTTAACTGAGGAACTGTCAGGACCTAGAAAACACTATGATAGATGATGGCTTGAGAAGTGGATGAGGTAGAGGATGTTACAATGAAGATTCTGGACACGAGGCTACAAAAGGAAGACGATTATCATTTAAGTGGCAGAATTCAGGCATAAGCATTTCACAAGAGTTTCCAATTCAGTCTTACTTAGGGTTTTCAATAGGTACCATTTGCCAGTTACATTCTATAAATAAAAGGAAAATAGATACACTCTATGGCCAACTCTCTGAAATAAATCTGTTCAAGAAATTTATATGAAACCATGTAAATGATGATGTAAATAAACCACTCTTGTGCTATTATTTAAAAGTGGAAAACAACAATATCTAGGGCTGACAGAAAAAAAAAAGAAAGAAAAGGAACTTAATCAGGTAATGTCTGACTGCAAGTTCATTAAACAAAACTGTCTGGGCCGGCCCGGTGGCACACTGGAGAGTGCGCCGCTTGGGAGCGCGGCGGCGCTCCCGCCGAGGGTTCGGATCCCATGTGGAGACCGGTTCCCGCTCACTGGCTGAGCGCGGTGCGGGCACAACATCGAGGGTTGTGATCCCGTTGCCGGTCAGTAAAAAAAACAAAAAGGAAAAATAAAAAACTGTCTGACATGTTTAGTGGGAAATGAAGTACTACTCAAAAATGTTTATAATATAATTACAAATTTATAATAAAATTATAATTGCAACAATTCTCCCAATAGCTACTGTCACATTCTTAGACATATTAATATTACTTATAGTAATATTAATACTTATATTAATATTATTACTTATAGTATATTATTAAAATAGCTAAGTCTGTGTACTTTCATGATGAAAGGCAAAATTCTATACATGACAAATCACAGTAGTTGTAATTACAAAGTATGATGACTGTTAACAAATATATCAGAATTCACACACTGAAGTTACTTAACAGTTGTCACCTAGAAAGGACCAGACGCTCAGGTGTTTAGAAAATTTTGTATATTTCCTTTGAAATTACCTTTAAAACCAGTTTCAATTTTAGTGTGTAAAATTTTTAAAATTTAATTTGCATAAATACATCCTATAGACAAAGTCACACCTTTGTGCCCTTAAAAAGTCTGCTACCTATTTGTGGGAACCAAAATAAATGACATACTGCAGAAGCTAATTTGCATAAAAGGTAAGACGGTCAGCCTACTTGAAAAGGAGCTAATAAAAATGAGCAGGTTGTACAGAATTCCTATTTTGGTAGGTTTAGTCACTGCAGTGGATCAAATATCTCCCCCAAGAATTCCTATGTTGGAAACTTTTTTTTTTTCCCCCTTTTTGTCTTTTTTAGTGACCAGCAACGGGATCGCAACCCTCGGTGTCACGCCTGCACCATGCTCAACCAGTGAGCGGACCGGTCTCTATATGGGATCTGAACCCTCGGCAGGAGCGCCGCCGCGCTCCCAAGCACCGCACTCTACCGAGTGCACCACCGGGCCGGCCCCGCTGTGTTGGAAACTTTTAATCTCCATTGTAACAGTGTTAAGACGGTGGGAATTCCTATTATGGTAACTGAAAGGTATGGCCTTTAAGAGGTGATTAGATTGTAAAGACTGTACCCTTGTGAATGGATTAATCCATTGATGGTTTATTGGGTGGTCACGGGCATGGTTATCGTGGCTTTATAAAGGGAATTCCTATTATGGTAACTGAAAGGTATGGCCTTTAAGAGGTGATTAGATTGTAAAGACCGTACCCTTGTGAATGGATTAATCCATTGATGGTTTATTGGGTGGTCACGGGCATGGTTATCGTGGCTTTATAAATGAGTGAGAAGCTTAGCTCACTCTTGCTCAGCACACTCTCCATGTGACAGACACCCTGTGCTGCTGTGGAGAGTCACCACCAAAAAAAGCCCTCACCAGATGTGTTCCCTGGATTTTGGATTTCCCAGCCTCTGAACTGTAAGAAATAAATTTCATTTCCTTAAAAATTATCCAGTTTCAGGTATTCTGTTATAAGCAACATAAATGGACTAATACAGTCACTATTTTCTAAGGAGATATATATATATACAAAATAACAAAGAAGGATCAAAAGAAATACAGCACTTTTTTTTAAAAGTGAAGCTAACAATTTCAGGGAAAGACATGAACACATGGTTAATATAATTAAATAGCTACTGGACCATCAAAATTACACTCAACTCACTAATCTTTCAAGCCCAAACCTGGCATTCAAATTTTGTACACATGGACACCTTGATGCTTCTGGTTTGAATCACAGCGCACAAATGCAGTGTTTTAATCAATAGATATTTATAAACATTTTTTAGAGGATAAGTAAAAAAAACAAATTTAATTTTTATTATTTACCTTCAAAATATAAAAGAAATGCTTATTCATAAGTTACACTAGAATTATGTAAATTTTCAAGTAAACTTTAGAGTGTTCTAAGATTTGACTTCTTACCTTGAAACATCCATGTAGGACAGATAATTCGGAACTGGGTAAACATCAAGTTGAACAAGTTCTAGCAGGGAAAAAAATACAAAAACACTACTATTCAAGTGACACAGAGACTCTTTTTGTATGTAGAATATCGTTACTGTGCTTTATTCTCTATTGTTTGTTTAGTTTAGGAAGTACAATACATCCATTTGTTCAACTTTGAAGCCACAGAAAAGTAAAAAGAACTTCTAATTTAATCACAAGATCTTATTCAGAGATTGAAATAAATCACTCTTTCTGCTTTCCTACCTCTGTCCTATCCATTTACCGTCATTCTCCTCTTGTTACGCATGCTAAATTATATCTGGAAGATTAACCAAACAAATACATCTTTTTAACTGTCAGGGTTCCTTCCATAAAACCAAATGCATCTTGTCTTTGGCCATCATCACTCTACTGAAACAGCATTCTGGAGGGTCTAAAATGACTACTCAAATCTACTCAAATCTGAAAACTCTTCCGCTAAACTTTATGAAATGTGACACCACTGTTCATCAAAAAAGCTCTATCTGATTGCCCACTCTGGGCCCAACTATGGGGTAGATTTTAAGTCAACTTTTGGTATCAGCTCTCTCTTCTCTTCTAGTTATCTTACTTCCATGGTTTCAGGTACCATGTTTGAGCAGATGAGTCTCAAATTAATATCTGTAGTCCTAACTAGAAGTTCCCTTTAGTTCACATGAAGCCCATGACAATAACCTGGGTTAGCTGAGTGGTGGATCACCTCACTCTTCTCCCATAACTGTACCCTGTACGCTTCTCCCATAAACACTCCCTGTACACTACTTTCACATTAACAGTCTTAAAGCATCACTTCCATCATGTCTCCTCCACTTAAGAATCTCTACTGGTTCCCTGTAGCTTACTGTACTAAGTTCTATGTTTCCCCACTTGACTCCAAGCCATTCACTCCTTAGTTACTTCTTTGAGTTCAGAATCTATAAGTTCAGAGTTCCCTGTCTTCTCCCAACTGCCAAACAAGCCACACTCAGATTCTTTCCTGCCACATCATTGCCCTTTGCTATCCAAATCCTATAACCCTTCAGTGCTCAGTCAAACTGACTATACTAGGACCTGTCCCTATTTGAGGTTTGGCTCATTTCTCCCTTATCCTTCAGAACTCATGAGCTATATACCATGCATAAAACAAGTACCTGATAAACATTTGTTCAACTTGGCAGTAGTAAATACTTGTTTTTGTTATTTGCTGATTATAGGAGATTTAGATCTTCACTTCAGCAAACATGTACCCATATGACCTTTTCTTTTTCAGACCTGTCATGAATTTCAAATTCTCAGAACAAAATTATATTAAATTCCCGTGAGTATACAATTCAGTTTTACCTTAATGTAAGTTCCTATGTTAGTGGAACATGAAACTGGAGATCCTGAATGAAGTCTTCCTTTCACTCTCCAATATCAAATCAAGTTCCAGATTTACTATCTTAGCAAGGTAATCCCAAAAACAGATCATTTCTCCCCCCACTAAACAGAATAAACAAATCAAAAGTGGGAGTAACCTATCTAAATATCACAATATGCAAAAAAAGCAAATTAGGAACAATAAAATCTTCCTTTTGATTCCTTTAAATACCAAGCCAGCATTCTTCTTTTATGACGTTTAGCAAAATTTGACACTTATTTTACAGACTAATGAGGGGAGAAAAAAGAAAGAGGCAGAGATAATAGCACTGTGTAAATTCTTTGAACCAAAAGAGAGAAACTCTCATGTGGTCTATGTTACATACCATTAGAAGAAGCATAGAGAGCTTTTAGGAAATAGCCACAGATGTTTAATGTCACCAATTGATTCCTTTCACAGTGTAAAACTTCAATGTTGTTGAAAATCATAACATCTAGATCACCAAGTTTATTGTCTCGTAGGTCAAGCTGAGTGACATGCCGCAGAAAGTCCTCTTCATCTGCTATTAGCTTCCTAATCATGTTCAATCTTGAGAGGAAAGAGACAAAGACTACAATTAACTGCAATATTATAAATCAATGACCACACCCTAATATGGTAGGGTAAGGAGAAAGGACTTAAGTCTCACTGCATTATAGCTCTCCATGATTTCTTTAATCTCATCTGGCCTTGCTTAACTGGCCAGATTCTCTGGCTATTTTTAGCTACAATTCCACAAGGTCTCAACCATCGCTGTATATTTTAAAATGTTTATTTTGAAACACAAGTTAGACCACTAAGGCTTGGAGAGGCACAAGCATATTGACTACTTTAATTCATTTCAAAAGGAAAAAAATCCACTTTAGCATTTCTTGCCAAAGAATCAGGTTGTGAAACTGTTATCATACTAGAAAAAACATAAGAAACAAAATCAAGAACAACCCATTAAGCACATTACAACTGCATAGGGAAGGAGAGGGGATGAGTGAGCAGGTAGGTAGATGAGCAGTCATCTCATCCAGAAAAACAATAACAAATGGAGTCGCATAATGAATGGGAGCTCCAGAGATGGGATTCTAAGTACACAGATTCTCAACTGTGCAGGACCAGGACTGACTATCAAAGCTATCTCTATCTATAAAATATTACTTGAAAAAGCAAAGTGCAGAAAATACTGAAATCTGGCATTTAGGGCTCAGTGAGAAATCAGAGAGTGAAGGACAACAATGGAAATCAACAACTCTAGGATGGAGCAAGGCACAGTGGAAAACTGGCAGAATCTCTAGCCATGAGAACTGGTTAGTGAACCGACTGAAGTTGCTGTGGATGAGCAGCCAGAAGGTAAATAAGTAAGTAGGAACCAATATAACAAAGATTTATTTAGCTTCAAAGGGAAGAAAAATAGACAAAAATCTCAATTCCCAGTTTGCAAGGCTATGCCTAACTCCTTTAAAACAACACAACAACAACAAAAACCCTCTATTTTTCATTACAATGCTAACAAAGGGCTGAGGTCATGTAGTTGATTAGAATAGCATTAATATTAAGGCTGGAGATCAGAAAAAACCCAAAGTTCCCCACAGCGAATTTCTGCCCTTTCAAAAAGTAAAATAAAATGACTGAATTATTAAGAACGATCATAAAGCCTTTGAAACACACGGAAGAGTGACAGAAAAAGACAAGATTCATCAACATGCAAGCACAGCAGATGGCCTCTTCAAATGCCCCTAAGAGGATGTGTTGCTGGTTCCTTCTCTTTCTTTATTCCAGGTTGTAAGATTTAAAAACTGGCCTCTACCCAGCAATTTGCCATTTCCAAATGTTCACTAGGTATCTTACTAGAATGTGTATGCAGAATGAAAAAAAAAATCTTAAGGCTGGCCAGTTAGCTGAGTAGGTTAGGGCATAGAGCTGATAACACCAAGATCCACGGTTCAATCCCTATTACTGGCCAGCTGCCAAAAAAATGACAATGACAACAAAAAATCTCACCCTTAGATACAACAGACTGTAGAAATTTTTTAAAATGTTCCATGTTCTCCCCAATCTACACTTTAAAAAACCTTCATAATGGCATTATCATCTTCATTTGAAATAGCCACACACACCAATTCATTGTATTAATACTAAAATAACAAAAGTATTGGTTTAATGAAGAAACGAAAGAAAATCTATAACAAAAGGAAGGTTAACATTTAGATTAAATTGCCAACTCTTACCATGATTCGAACATCAAGTTCTATTGAGAATATTGTAACTGACAGATAAAATTGTATGTATTTACCATGTAAACATGTTTTGAAGTATACATACATTGTGGGACGGTTGAATCTAGCTAATTAACATATGCATTACCGGGCCGGCCCGGTGGCGCACTGGATAGTGCGCCGCTTGGGAAGCGCGGCGGTGCTCCCACCCGAGGGTTCGGATCCCACATACAGACCGGTTCCCGCTCACTGGCTGAGCGAGGCGCGGGAGCAACGCCGAGGTTTGCAATCCCGTTGCCGGTCCCTGGTCCGGTACGGGGGCAACACTGAGGGTTGCGATCCGTTGCCGGACACGGAAAAAAGAAAAAAAAAAAAAAAAAAAAACATATGCATTACCTCACATAATGTGGTGAGAACACTTTCCATCCACACTCTTAGCATTTTTCAAGAACACAGTACATTGTTAACTATAGTTACTATGTTGCACTAGGCTGAACTTTTTAAAGTGGTTAAAATTCTCTTCCAATAACCCCCTCAGCTAATACAGCCATTGTATCTATCTCGTAAGTATTCACTGAGCAGTTCTTATGTGTAGAAGGGCACTGTGAAGGAGCATTATGTTCTAGCCCCAGCTTGCTATTCAACACTTTGCATATACGACCTTGAGCAAGTCACCTAACATCTCTGAGTCTAATTCTTATCTGTGAAATGAGGGCAACACCTTCCTTGTTCTACAAAGCAGTTGCAAAGATCAAATAAATAGTAAGTGTGCTGATACTTTGTAAACTGTGAAGGGCTATGTTAATGATGATGACAGCAAAGACCTAAGGCTTTGCGGTGATCGGAGATGAATAAAACAAGGTGTCTATCAATAGATTTCATAATTTAGTGAAGAGAGTCAGATATGTTTTGAAATATAAAATGTAAGGATCACAAGTACGTGATAAGTGCCATAAATGACGCATAAAATATAAAGAACAGTGACAAAAGATGCTGTGGAAAAGAAAACATCTCATCAGAATCACAAGGGTAGGCAGAATTTAACAGATGTAAATGGGAGAAGAAAAGCAGTCTATGAGGAAGCAGCAGAAGAGAAGACCACCCTGGCATCAGTTTCATACCTGAGAGCAGGGGTTCCTCAGGAGTGCAGGGTAAGCAAAAGTAGAGAAAATACAGCTAGACAGGTGGGTCAGCCAATTAGTATTTACCAAGGACTGTACCTAGTAAGTACTAACATTGGGGGATCATGGATAAATAAAAGCAGTGCTTAAATTATTTCTGGTGAAGGACCTATTTTCTAAACTTCTAATTCATCACAGTCTGGTGGACAGTCCTACTGTGCATGACCAATAACACAGCTCACACCACACGTGACTCCGTGCACAAGTTTAACAACACCTAAGTTAGTTGATTCCCTGTACAAACAGATAAGTCTACTCTAAAGCACTTGGATATTGTGGCAATGTCAAATCACTATATGTTTCTGAAATATTAGTCTGAATTTCTGTACCTATCTCATTGTGGAAAAGTAGCAAATAGCTGGCTTGCCAGCCCAGGTTGGAGGACCACACCTGAGCAGCTCTGAGATAAAGCCTCATCCTCAAGGGACTCAAAGGCTAGTGGTTTGAAACCAGGTATGAGAGCTTGAACATCTTGAACTAGAGAACTGAAGAAGGCTCGGAGCAAGACTATGCTTACTTGAGAGACTGCACAATCGAAGTAAATGGCTCAGCTAGGAGAAAACAGTAGCAGGGAGAAGGAAAAGGGATGGATGAAAGAGAAAAACTAGTGTGAAAGAAGAAGGGACAGAATCTCGTGGTAGACCAGAAATAGAACCGAGAGTAGTATGTCTGGATAACCAACAGAAACAGGAATCCAGGGAAAGAACTGGTTGAGTAAAGAAACTGGGACTGTTTCACATGTACTTGGTTAAATGAGTCAACAGGGGAAACCAAGGATAAATTACCCAACAGTCCGCTGAAGTAAAATTAGTCCCAAGAAAAGAAAGAAGGGTTAGAGAAAGATTGGGAAATGATTAACATTGAGTCGAAAGGTAAAAAAGGAAGCCCAAGGAGTACCTGCAAGCACCAGGGCAGAAAACATGGATAGAAAGAGGAGCGACTGAGGAGAGATGTGAGTAACAGCCACACTGGGGACAGAGAGGAGAGGAGGAGGAGGAATTATTAATGATGCCACAGAAGAAATATTATCAAACTCAAAGGACGTCAATGTAAGGAAAAGAATAAAATAAAAAGAAAAATGATCACATAAGCTGATGCAATATTTTCGTGTGAAAGAATGAAAAACAAAAAAATTAGCCCTTTACTTACAGAAACTAAGTGAAACTCCCCTTAAATTACTCTACTAGCTTCCATTTAAATTACTAAGGCAGAACTATAAGCAATCTGATCAGATTTTTCTCTCCTCAGTGTGGAGGCCTAGAGGAAGCAGTTTTCTACTCATAGTCATTCAACATTTACAGAGTGTCCAATATCTAGACTGGGACTTAAATATCTCGTAGCTGATGTCATCTAGAAAGAATCAAGTTACAACTAGAAATCTAAAGAATCTATAAAGCTCTTACTTAGAAGTATTACTTCTAGATAAGATTGATCTAATTTGTAAGCTAATTCAGATCAAGAAAAATGATGTCTTCTTATGTATACAAGTTAACTCAGAAAGCATCTCATTATCCTTGGCTCTACCAAAGTTAAGCCCCTGGATGGCTAAATGAAAAAGGGTCTAAATTCTGGAATATGAGGGTTTTTTAAATTCAAGCGACAGAGAGGCAAGTAATATTAAAAATCTGGAAAGAAAGCAAGACAAAGTGTTAAATTCCCTATCCTGTCACATTCTCAAAAGTTCTTGAAGTCAGATAAATTATAACTATCTCTACTCTTCAAATTAAGAATTCTAGATCTCCAAATTGCCCTTCTCCAGATGGAACAGACCTGATTCCTTTAGTTTGAGGAAAGGTGAAGCCAACCAACTCTTGGTGAGACTGGAATGTATGCGTTTGCTGGGCCAAACCACATGAATGGAGAAGAAAGGAGCAAATGATGATGCTGCTTTATACTGATGAAACTGAACAAGCCTGAGTAAGGGTCCGGGGTTACCAACAGAGAGCAAAGTGGGTAATGAAGCAAGGACAGATCCACTTTGAACAAGAGAAGTGTAAAGATGCCAAGAACAGCTGAGAAGGTTTCATGAGTGGAGAGGAGGCCTCAATCAGGTAAGAATAACGAAACATAAATTGCCTAGCACTCCTAGCAAGTGTTAACTCAATTCTCTCCACCACTCTGTGAATTAGGTTCTGTTATTAAAGATAACTTACAAATGAGAACACAAAGGCACAGAGATTATCAAATATCTTGCCCAAGATTTAACATGGCTAGTATGTGATTATCATCCTCTGCCTAAAGAGGAAATTAGTTTGGTTAAAAAGTACCAAACTGGGGCCTAACCCTATATGTTGCTTTGTAGTAACTCAAGCCCATGACAGGGTTCTGGCTTTTCCTTTAAAAAAAGAAAAGAAATTTAGAACAGCTTCCTCCTTGTGTACTGGTTCTCTGTGCATTAGAAACTAAAACTGAATTCCACTAAAGGATGATTACTGAGCATCTACCATGTTACAAGGATTGTGGTTTCCAACTGGAGTTTAGTGTGATCAGGATTCAAAATGTAGGTTCCCTGGTTTTGCAAGAAGAGTGTAAGTTCTAGCCAAAATTTGGTCAGATAGGAGATTATAAGTTTTATATTTTTGTAAAAAATGGTAAATTAAGGACAGAGTCACTTGGATGGAAAGAGAGGAAATTAAATAAGTAAATAAGCCTAACAATGGATACATTATATTAAGGAAGCCGACGAAGAAAAAAAAAAATTGAGATGCTCAATGATGTCAAGTGACTCAGTAAGCCATGGAAAAGAAGGATTAAGAAAGAAAAATATCCACTTTGCTCTCAATGATATAATTTTTGTTCACTCTAAATGCTTTCTGACTCAATGGCCCTATCTATTCATGCAAATTAAAACTGAGTTCAAATTTGCAAAACAAAGTAAGACCTTCAAGGCACTCATCAATGAGAATTTTTTAAAATAAGTTTCAAGAACAGCAAACCCTACTATCAATCATTATTTTTCCCTCTGGGTGGAAATAGAAAAATGGGCCCTAGTTTAACTAACCAGCTGTTTGCCTTGGCTAATCTCACCAAAAGAGCTACAACCTACTCCCCATATATAAGCCAACCATTCAAATGAGATATATTTCCCAAAAATGGTTACCTTAGATCCACATGTTTAATATGAGGCATTCTTCTTAAAGCCTGTAGCCTAAGGGTCTCCATACAGTTTCCAGACATACAAAGTTTATCCACAGCAGTCAATTTTTCCAATACCTCTGGAATGTGAGTGAACTCATTGAAAGAAAGACCGAGATAACTAAGCTGATGCATGTTCTCCAACTCAGCAGGAAGGGACTCGAGAAAGTTTCCATCCAACAAAAATGTTTGCAAACTATTAAAGAAAACATAAGATTTATAAAGAGCATATACAAATTTTATATCTTTATAATCAACATACAAGTGCCAGAAGTATAGAGAGTATTACTAGAAAATGTACTACTCCTTGCAAAATGCCTAAGGGTAGGCCCTGAGACAACAACGGACCAGAGAGGAGAGATCAGAGATAAGCATCTTAGTCTTTTATTGAAAGCAAAAATTGTGACCAATTTTCCCAACTTCGGTAGGCACAAATGGGAACGAAGTGAGCTAACTGCAGTGTGACCAGCCCCAATACCTGTCTTTCCTGATTATCTTCTAAAATTAATTTCTAAGTCTTAGAATTCAACATAACTCAGAAAATGAGAAAGTAACCTACCCCCTCCCCCATGCTGAGACTCATTCCATAGGGATCTTCAGTTCTAAACAAGGATATTTTAATTTTTCACATGATGCTCAAGAGTATAAACTCTAACAAATGAACTCTACACAGACCACACAGTGCCTAATCTCTTGATTTGGGGCCAAGCTTTACAGGACCAACATAAGGAGTTAACTAATCTCATGTGCCACAACCCTGATGCAGCTTCCCTGGGGTTTCAGATGGATACCCCCACAATGGGGTTTAAAGTACTCACTTGTGCATAGTCCCAACGGTGGCTGGGACTGTTCTCAGGGCATTGCAGGACACATTCAGCTCGACCAGAGTTGGAATACTGCAGACTGCTAATGGAAAGTCCCCTAAATGATTATTGGAAAGGTTAAGACTCTTCAGCTTGGTGAACCTATTACAATAAAACAAAAGGAAAGAAGAGACAAATGTCACAGATGCATAACATTGCATAACTTTCGCATTGCCTTAGAGATAATCTAGCCGACTCCTAAATTCAGCTGAGGAGATTGAGTGAGCCGTCAGTGGTTAAAAGAGCAGCAGAGTAGGAATGCAAATCTTCTGATTCTAACTAACGCCAGTGTTTGACCTAAAATGTAAACATTATATTTAAAAACAAACTGGTCACTCTGAAATACGGTTGAATAATTGAGGAGGTGAGTTCTGCAGGAGTAAGGTTTTATAGTGTTTCAGTTAGCCAAGATCACAGGTTCAGATCCCTGAAACTGTCAGCCACTAAAAATAAATAAATAAATACATTTAAATCTATGCTTCCAGGACATTATTTAAGTATACTTGACAAGCTAGGGAAAGAGAACATATTTTATTTAAAGTTTGTCAGCTTGATTATAACTTAAATATTCAGATATGTTGTATGTGTGTCTCCATTTACACTCTTACCCTAGACCTATAAATTTTAAGAGCTTATTCTGATTTACAAGCATCCTCAATTTTTTGCTTCTTCTCACCACACTCCCCACCCCGCCCCCTCGCATTCCTCCCAGCACAGCCAGTCCCCAAAACTCTTACTGAAGAACACAGTGTTCAGCAGAGACTTGTTTACACCAAATAAAGCATAGATTGTTTCTGAGAACCCAAGTTCTTGATCAGAACACATCAACCAACGTTAGAACTCATCTGTTTTGGAAACTCTAACCCTTGCCCTTCTTGGAGTTATACGTTTTCTTTACAGATGTAGAAAGCAATCATATCACGGGCATACGCAGACTCAAAACCCTTTCAGAGAAAGATAGAAGAAAGGTACACATAGATTCACTTCCTCGGGGACTTAAGTTGGATGAAGCAGATGCTGTAGGTAACATTAAGTTATGAGAGATAAGAGATCAACATGGTGAGTGAATGACGTTTCCTCACTTTACCTCCATTTAAAAGGAATGAGGAGGAGAGAGCAAGCTGGCAGCAAACTACTATGGAAGAAAAGACAAGAAATCTCTATGCTTCCATAACAAAATATAAGACTTGTAGCTCTACCATGTTAATAGGTAAGCCAGATAAATCATGAAACATGCACAGACCCAGATTCTAAAATAAAACTGACTGGTTTTGAGGGGAAAAAATGCATTTGGTAAAATATTTTAAATAATTGTATTTTAAACCAATATTTCAGTTCTGCCATTATATTCACTCAGGCTACAGATATTTTCTCATAGCTGTTCAACATAAGTAGAGGAGAAATAGAGCATCACAGAATTTAAGATCAATAAAAAATATTTTAATGATGATTATAATAATTATGGTGGTCAGTTTAGTAACAACACAGGATGATTCTATTTGATACTTTAGAAGCTAAAAGAACAGGAAACTTGGGGTTTATTTTTTAAAAACACCTCTTATTATTCAAGTATATACACACACTGTGCCCAGGCTAAAGAAAGTTACTTAAGGTGGTCTGAATGTTAGTTAGTCCTCCCAAAATTCGTATGTTGAAACTTAATACCCAATGTGACAGTATAAAGAAGGGGCACCTTTAGGAGGTGATTAGGTCATGAGGGCTCTGCCCTTATGAGTGGGATTAGTGGTTGAATGGGAAAAGAGGTTGAAGGGGGCTGCCTTGTTGTTTTCACCACATGAGGACACAGGGAGAAAGTACCATCTTTGAAACTGAGAGTGGGTCTCACCAGACAACTAACCTGCTGGCACCTTGATCTTGGATTTGCCAGCCTCTAGAACCGTGGACAATAAATTTATGTTGTTTATAAATTACTCAGTCTAAGGTATTTTGTTATAGCACCCCAAACACACTAAGACAGTGGACATTATCTTCCTTATTTCTCATAGGTTATCAAAAACCAAAAATAGAAGGAGCATTTGAAGTCATTTTAATTTCCCAAGCTCATCAATAGAGAAACCAGGCTCAGACACTCTGTGTGACCACTGCATACAACTATAAATCTATTGCCTTTCAACATCATTACTACTCATCTCTCTTCCTCTTCTTTTAGTACATCATATTAAAAAGTTTAACACAAGTAGTTATTTATCTCTCACAATTATAAGTCACAGGTCAAAGAATGGCCTCAGAGTAGTATATGGAAAGCACTACTTTTTTCACTCTCATGTTCCCCTAACAAGGGTAAAGGGTAGCATTATTGACAATGGAGGACAATGAATATATTTTGAACACTACATATATTTACATTCAAACCAATTTAAGTACAGCCCAGCTCTCCTAAACTACCCAACAACCTGAGAAGACTGACTTCACTTTCCAGAGCAAGCAGTGTGCTTTAAGGAAAGAAATATAACTCGTGTTCATTTATTGTACAATAGAATTCAGAAGAATTCAAGTTAACATTTATGCACAGCCTAATAAAGAATAATCTTAGTTAATTATTAAAATGAAGTTACATTACATTTAACAAATAGCAATAGGCATTGTGTGAGTTTAGACTCAGATTTGACTTGCTCCAAAGCTCCAAAGCACACTTCCTTTTTTTAATACCAACTGTCACAGAAAAGCATAATCAACTAAATACACCTGATGACAAAAACTATAATTGTAGTGTATTTACAAACAAACCTTGAAGTCCCTTTCAAAGTAGGTATCCTATGTTCCATATAACAAAATACATGATTGTTTGTCAAGAGAACAGCCTTCAGGTGATAGAAGGTCAAAAGTGGGGACAGGGAAAAAATGATAGAATGGAACTAATAATATCTTTACTCTGTGAAGGTAATGACATTTCTTTCATTTACATCTCCTAATGTATTTACATCATAAAACAAAAGTATAGTAACTTGATACTATACCTAGACACGAAATGTGCTGAACTATCTAGGGATGTGATCTATTAATGTTCTTTTTCTTCCTTTCTCCAACTACGCAGCCATAACTAATTAACAGCAAAGCAGGAACAGCACACACCTTAAAAGCTGCTACTGAAGGAATAGAGCAATCATTAATTTTGTCTCTGTGTTTGTCTAGCTTCCCTTTTTAATCTAGTCAACAGAATACCATGCAAATGTTGTCTACACTTAATTTTAAATGGGTTTTTTCCTCAGTTACTAAATTTTGAGCCATAATCTTCCAAGCTACTTTCTTAAGCAAATTATTTAACTCAACAAAAGAGAACACTGCTTAGTTTCTTAAAGTAATCAGAAAAGTTAAAATGCACCAAATTCATGCACCCAACTTCCCAACTTTATTAGGTTGATATAAAGATTTCTAAAACAGGCCAACCACAAATCTATAAATTTATTTCATTCTGGCATCCAAAAAACTACTTGGGAGCAAATGCTCCTAAGAAAATGAAGGGGAGTCATTTTTTATTCAAGGACAGAAAATTAAAAAGCTAATATTCTACAATAGCAAAGTTGAGAGAAATAAACAAATGTACACTATGCTGCCAATCTTCATATACTTTCCCCTTCTACGCTTGTTTTGTCATGATCATAAGACATACTTAATCTTTCCCCCTTTTTTTTTTTTTTTTTTTTTTTTAGCATTTATTCACTCAATCTATCCCCATTCAAAAATTAATGTACAAAGTTTTTTTTTTGAATCTGAGTTACAGGTAATAACTATGTATATTTGTATATATTTAGGAAATAAAATCAAATGAATAGCATGATAACTATTTGGAGATATAATATTAATTAGTTTTAGATACATCTAAATCTTTAGTAATATTCCTTTCAGGAACTAAGGATATATATGATATACTTGGAAAACTTGACTATAAGTCATGAAATTTTCATGTGATGAAAGTAGTTCTATTTTTAAACGTATTCCAAATGCGCTTAAAATGAGTGTCACAAATGATACCCATACTTGTTTTACTGAATGAATTTAACACAGAAAAATCAATATTATTTTCTTGAATTATTATTCAGCACAAGTGGGTCAATTAAAAATAGATTCCCTAGGTGAATGGATTTCTGTTTCACAGTAACAGCCCATGTTTAACTTGTTTTTTCCCTGTGGAGAACATACTAATACACTTTGGAAATTATTAGGCTGCAGTATTAAGTAATGAAGGAGTTGCTTAAAGGCTGGAGTTGTAAGCCTAGCTCTGGGCTTAGTCCCTTGCTTTGCATTAATTATGAAAAACAGAATCTCTAATAGCTAAGAAAGGCTCTACCTTAGTGGAGAGCTTCCAGGCTGTCAGTGCTCTATAAGAATCAACATATTTTTGTTTAAGAGAAAGATAGCTTTTATTTATTACCTAAGCAGTAAATGGTCATTTTAACAAGTCAAACTTACAGAAGCATATAAAGAAAAAGTTAACAATCTCTCCTACTGCCTTCCAAATCCCATCTTCCTGAGATAATCACTGTCAATAGTTCAGTATATATCCTTCCAAAGCTTCTCCTCCTTATAGGAGGATTCTTCTAAAAGTTCGTGGAACAATAGAAAAGATAATAGAAATCTTTCCATGAACTTTTTGAAGTACCCTCATAAAACACAAACCTGAATACATAGGAGATAAATCTCCTATTTTTTTGGTATGGGATTATACCAATACCAGATACATTTTTTCTACAATTTGTTTTCTCATCTAATACAAACAAATCATCTTAGCATATAAAACCTAATTCAATCTTTTTGACAGCTGCATAACACACATAGTACAAATGTACCATAATTTATTCCATCCCTCCACTAATTGACATTAGGAGTACTCCCAGTTTTTTTGCTGTTACAATTCTGCAAGAAACACCCTGGTCACAGATCTGTTTGTGCATCAGTGATTTTATTTTGCACTATTTATGGGTGCATACTGCCTTATCCATAATTCTGAAATTCAAAAGCCTCCAAAAATTGAAAGATTTTTCAATGACTCATGTGTTGGCAAAAGCTGACCTGAACTGATGTGAATATTCATTTATTCCCTCTAGAAATATGAATGTGTTTATTTATGGCGTGCTGTTCCA